AACTCCCCCCCCCACCACGCAGCATTTCCACCAAAAAAGCCCAGCCGAGCGGGAGGAGTATAATTAACAGTGATTCGGGTACCAGTTGACCAAAGCCAAACTCCATCCACACCTCCCCCAAGCAATAGCCGTCGGCGAGGGAAATACAACAAGTGAAACGTCGGCAACTTTTGCTTAGGTACTCTCAAAAGCTGACACTCCGTTGGTAAGGATTGACGCTGCCCCGACCTTGTATACGACCCCCACCTTTCCATCGGCAGAATACGACTCCCTCGTTGGACTTTGTCCAACGACGGTTGACCCTGGTAAGAGGTTAACCCTTCGACTATGACTTTTTTAAAAGTTCAATTACCGATGTGTTTTATGTAGTGACTATCGCTCCTTGCAGCGACTGGTCACCTATGGAGGTTTGGCTAACGTGCGCTGAATTTGACCTGGGATTTTGATCTAGCGACTATGCGCGCAGTAGTGGCCCCTCTTGTCACTGCACCATCACCGCTCGAATGAGTTTTTTGAAATGGCAGCTTGATTAACAATTACGAATACACAATTCCATATCTCATTCGTGGAACAAAGCCAATGTCCGGTAGCGACCACACTTGGGTAAGAATTGCAAGCCGCACTCTGTAGAAGCGCTGCGGGTCTGACCGGGTGCTTCTGCTCTAACGAGTTTTCGTCGTCTTCTACTGCTTCAAAATCTGTGTCGTCATAGTAGTAGTCTTCTAATTCACTTCCGCACCATCGGAACTGTCAGAATCTTGGAGGTTGGAATCTCCAACACTGTTGTGGAACGCCGCGTCTGTCCTGTGACTGCTTCGAGTGATAAAATGCCCCATTTTTCATCGTTGTTTGCGTTTGTTGCACCTATTGCAATGATGTAGGGAGGTACCAAATTCACAAGCACAATTACTAAGGGTGCGTGATTACCTTTGTGTTAGCTGCTTGCACTGATCAATGACGTGCAGTACAATATGCCTTATCAGTTCATCCAGAGTAACTCGCTTTGGCTTTTTCTACCCTCTCCTTCAAAAAGCCAGAAAGTGTCGGGTGCAGCCCAAACAGCACAACTGACGACGGCCTCAAAGTAATCTTGTTGCTTTCTCGTGGCCGTCGTTAATTGTGGTGTTTGGTCTGCACCCGGCACTTTCTGGCTTTGGGGTGTCACTAGGACAGAAAGCGACTTTTTCGCGTTTCGCAGCGCGAAACATTTTTCGCTGCGGGAACCTCAGGTCCACCGCTGATCATCAGTGGACCCGAGGTTCCCGCAGCGAAAATCAGTGGACCCGAGATTCCCGCAGCGAAAAATGTTTCGCGCTGCGAAACGCGAAAAAGTCGCTTTCTGTCCTAGTGAACCACACCCAGGTATATGTGCCGATTTCGCCATCAAGCGGGCTCTCCAAATTGGTGAACATGTGTACCACCAGTAGTCAAGGGTTAAGCGACTAAGACTGCATACGTATCAACTGGCTTACTGCGCCCACTGAGCGATCGCCTAATCGCCTAATCGTCCAGTCACCTTGTCGCGATCGCGCTACGAACTCTACCCCATTCTGTTCAGTGTTCTTATTGGGCGTTCTTCCTTAGCCCTCTTCAGAAAGATCTCTCTTGACAATGTATACAGGGGTGGCCAAAAAAGAGACACTCAGCCCATAGGCGCACATCATCGAACTTTTCGTCGCACAGGGAGCCGATGTTAATCAAAGTGTTATGGCGTAATATTCCTTAGGTTCGTTCCGTAAATAGGAAAGCACTCCTTCACTGCCCCTGCCGTCTCCAGAATATGACGTCATCTGCCGTCCGTCGAGCTCAACGAGGCTTACCGAATCGCTCCGACCTGAAGCTGCTACACAATTTCTTCAGTGAATTAATTGTTGAATAGCTTCCCAGAGACATTAGCTGTGAATGTGCAAAACCGCTTTTGACCTGCGTTTCAGAGACGTCGTAATCGTCTATGGTATCTCAACGACCTCGTTGAGATCGTACCGCGCACAATGCTTCCGTGGGGAAAATCGTTCTGATGTCGTCGGTGTAGAAGACTGTTGTGTAGCTTGTTAAATTATAACGTGCTCCTCTATATTCAGTTGGGATCATTTGATTTGGTCTTGCAACGCAAAAATAATGCCGTTTTGATTGTGGAGTGAAGTGTCTCCTTTTTTTGGCCACCCCTGTATGTACCTCCGCTCCAAGGTTCCTCTGATTGGTGCCTTGTCCATCGCAGCAATATGTTGTTGTTTTTATCGTTATTTTGGTCCTTTCTCGTAAACATCGCTATACCATTGCGTCATCGCTTATGCGCTTTGTACGCTGGTAATTCCGCATACACTCACGACCCTCATTTTCGACCAATTGTCACTATGCATTTAGCGCTAAACGCCTCTCACCTCATCATCTCAATTTCAGCAGAGTGATATGCTGTTGCTATAATAGTGTGTGCAACAATCAGTGTCATATAGATTGTACGGACGTACAGACGGTTTCCTCCACATTCGATTCGTATCTTGATACATTCAGTGCAGTATCGGAGATAGCATGACAGGCTCGTGGAACATCGTAGGGGTGTGGGTACTTAGGACAGAACGCGACTTTTTCGCTCTTCGCAACGCGACATCGCGCGGCAGGCTGGCGCACCCGCAGCGAAAACAACTACGGTATGGAGAACGCGCGATTGGAGCACGATATTTGTGTCGGCTTTGATTGCGACAAGGAGTTTGAAGCTTAATAGCCATGGATTTGATAATGAACGAGGAAATGGTAACCAGAAGTGGACCGCTAACTAGCAGTGAAGAGGGAGGTAGGTTATTTTTGCAGAGATGGATGGTAGAGCTTCTGGAGAACCTGGAAGAGAAATGGTTGATGGACGTTTGATGAGACGACTGTAAACTTCTGCATAGGGGTTATTTGGGGCCCTGATCATGAATATGACACTAATTTTTCCCATTCGTGTGTTTACAGGATATTTTGTATGCTATACGAGTTTTACTTACGGAATGGCCTACCCACTTTGGAGCCCTACACTACTCAAAGGCTTAGTCCTATTGCGATCTAATTAGTGCGAGGGCGCAGACGAGCAGGAAGCAGGCGCCGAATAGCGCTAACAACAAATCAGGACCCCGAATAACCCCTATACAGAAGTTTACAGCGAATTTAGTGGGAATCAGTTGTGGCGCCACCCGGCCCCAAATGGCGCCAGCGTCAAAAATGAGTATCATATCCGTAATGAGGACAGAAGCGTTTCCGTAAAAGATGTTATACCCTTATGCAGAAGTCTATACAACAATATGAACCCACAAAATGCAAGCACAAGCGACACTATTAAACCCTCGTTCACCGATAATTCGTAAAACACCATTTGTGTGGCATCGCCCGGAATCGTGTAAGTCACAAAACGTTTTCAATAATGAGACAGAATTAGTGATTCACCGCATTTATCAATACAATGGGTGTGAGCGCGGGCAAGTAAGGAATCAGAAACTTACAAATTCACGCATGCAAAAAAGCTGCTCCAATCGCGCGTTCTTCCATACCGTAGTTGTTTTCGCTGCGGGTGCGCCAGCCTGCCGCGCGATGTCGCGTTGCGAAGAGCGAAAAAGTCGCGTTCTGTCCTAAGTACCCACCCTATTTTCTTCCCGACATCGGAGAGGAAATTTGTCGCAATATTCAAGTCATCATAGTGGGTAAAGGATCCCTCAGGGAAGTTGATTGGTGAAATGAAGTATCCTTTATCGTTTTGTCGATTTTCACGGATGAGAATATTTCTGGTATTTCTGATGATTATTACTGTCTCAGAAACTTCTAATTCAAGCCTGCGATTTGTGATCTGCTCATACAGGTGATCATTGTTTTGACAGTCCAAATCTCGATCTGATTGGCTGTCACGCGGAATTGACGTGGTGCCACGCACATGATGAGAGTTGCGATAAAGTTTCGCAGCTGTTGCTGATATTCAGCATGTGCTAAAAACATCTTATGCACAATTCTTAGTGCGGCGTGCAAACCGTCATTCGGTGACACCCAATCAGACTTCGAGATATGGACTGTGCAAGCGTGCATTACTTAACTCTGACGTGTTCACGCCTCGCTGAGAAATTCATGGAATGAAGAATTGAAAAAATGAAACACAGTGAGAGAGAACTACGAAAATTACATTTATTTAAAACGTAGTGCGAGCATGGCAGAGAATCGAAAAAGCTTAAGATCTACACTTAACAAAAAAAACTAGCTCTTGCGATTACTCCGGGAAATGATGTAAACTAATTTGCGGTGGGTGGAATCTACTAAATGCAGTTTAACTGGTAATTCACTCGAAGGAGTTGTTCAAATACCAGGCTTATTGGGCCGACGTGGAACGAAAAAGGTTGTGCATTAATGGTAGTCGAAAATGCAAGTTACGCCCTCTTCCCCGCCCTCGGCGCGGTATAAGCTAAATTGGGTGCCGTGTTTTGTAAAGCACACAACATTGTTACCGATATGCTTGACCCGGGCTCGGGATCAACTGAGCCCCAAACTACTGCTTCCAAAACTAGTTCACATTCTCAATTGAAAACAAACCAGTCTGCATCGAGATATTTCCTGAATATGGATGCGCTTGAGCATTTCCGAAGATATAACTCAAGAACTAGTGTCACGATTACTTAACAGTGAATAACCTCACAGGAATCCCTACAATTCATGTCACAAAAAAATGAAATTTTAAGAAACAATCACCAAAAGATTATTAAAGTTGTCTCAAATGACCTTCATTTTGATGTAAAATAATGTGCGGACCCAAAAAACAAGAGTGATGGGAAAACCTAGTTTTTCACGTAGTCTTGACTACAAAACACATTGATGGTACTGCTTCTCCATCTCGAAACAAATGTACAGTACAAGAGTAGAAACGAGATTAAAAATGGAGTAAGACCAGACAAGTACTACTGAATTTTCACATTTGAATAACATCTGCAACAACTATAAAGAAACGCTCACATATTTGAAACTCCAACGCGATCACTTTGCTCAACTTAGTTTATACGTGCACTGAAACCAAATGAGCGAGCGATGGACTGCAGGTAGTAACGAGTTAACCCATTGCGAGTCTCTTCTGCCATGTGTGATGGCACTCCTTCGGCATTCACAGTCAAAGATGTGGAATCACTCTGTAATAAACGTATCTCCTCTTATGAAAGCAACAAAGTTGAAGAGGTTTTTGACCATCCCACTCACAACATGTAGACTCACCGAACAGACTTTGCCACTTCGTGGGTGATTACAAACATTTATGTCATAAAGACAGATTTCTCCGCCAACAAAAAAAATCTCAAAAATATTCGCAGCTGCGCGCTGTGCCGTTTTCATATCCGCAGCTATTATAAAAAGGAAGCTTATCATCCCCAAGAGCAAAAATGAAGAACAAGGATACCGCTATATTGCAAGGTTGAACAACGAGTTAGTAAATCCAATAAAAAAGAAAGCAAGTCCGAGGATATCCATGATTTCTAAGAACTGGCATCTATCCAATATAAGAGACCTTGAAAACGTTAGCGTGGCTTGTCAATAAACTTCTCTAACATCGTTCATTTAATTCAATTGACATGAAGAGAACACATCTCATTTCAAGCGCCTAACTACCATATGAATAAGGAAGTATGTCAAAAAAGCTGGCTAATTACTCTTCCGCGAATAAAATAAAAGAAAGAATCATCGATGACGACTACAGCAACCAAATGTGTAATGTAATGTAATGAATGTAATGTGATAAATAAGCAAAACTCATGAATTACCTCATCTTTCAGCGTAAACTTGATCTTAGCATGATGGTCATTTGGATAAGATTTCAACCTCCACGACATGGTGATTTGTTCGTTGGTCTTCTGTAAAAAGAAAAGACAGCTCACGTGGATCAGTTCGACAACCAAAGATTTCATTAGAAATCTCAGAATTTTCTGCTCAAAATCCTGCACGATATTATAGCAATCTTCACTCACAATTTC